TTAAAAAATCTTTGTTGTTGACAATATTACATATGTTCCCTTTTTTACCCCATTGACTCCTTCTAGCCTGTCCCCCCACCCCAGGCCTTCACCACCCTGTTGTCTGTGTCCATGGGTTATGCATATATGCATCTGAGTTCTTTGGTTGCTCTCTCCCATGCCCTCCCCGCCTTTTCCCCTTCCCCCTGCCTTGCCTCTTTGATTTGACCATCTCTTCCATGTTTCTGTGTCTCTAGATCTATTTTGTTCATCAATTTATTTTATTAGATTCCACATATGAGTGAGATCATGTGATACTTGTCTTTCTCTGACTGTCTTATTTAGCTTAGCATAATACTCTCCAGATCCCTCCATGCTGTGTCAAAGGGTAAGAGATCCTTCTTTTTTACTGCTGCATAGTATTCCATGGTGTAAATGTACCACAGTTTTTTATCCATTTTTTCCACTGATGGGCACTTGGACTGTTTCCAGATCTTAGCTGTTGTAAATTGTGCTAATATAAACATAGGAGTGGAACATTCTTTCTGATTGGTGTTTCAGGTTTCTTGGGTATTTGTCTGTTTTTAGGTCACTACCATACTGTTTTAATTACATAGCTTTATAATGTAGCTTTGTTTTTTAATATATATTTTTTATTGATTTCAGAGAGGAAGGGAGAGGGAGGTAGAAACGTCAATGACAAGAGAGAATTAGTAATCGGCTGCCTCCCACACGCACCCCAACTGGGGATCAAACCCACAGCCTGGGTATATGCCCTGATTGGGAATCAAACCTTCTACCTTCTGGTGTATGGACAGTGCTCCTCCCTTGTGACTTCTGGTTTGACCCGTTGTTTTTCTAGGAGTATATTGTTTAATTTTTATATATTTGTGGAATTTCAGTTTTTCTAGTGCTGTTAATACCTAGTTTCATCCCGTTGTGACTGAAAAAGATAAATGTGTGTGAGTTCAATCTTCTTGAATTTGTTAAGACTTGTTTTGTGCTTAATGTGTTCAATCCTGAAGGATATTTCATGTGTACTTGAGAAATGCATATTCTCTGTTGTTGAGTGGAGTGTTCTGTATATTTCTATTAGGTCCAGTGTCTATAGAGTTCAGTTCCTCTATCTCCTTGTTCTTCTATCTGATTGTTCTATCCATTATTGAAAGTGAGGTATTGAAGTCTCTTAATATCATTGAAATATCAAACTTTGCCTCATTAATTTATGAGCTCTGAGGTTTTGTTGTAACGTACCCCGTGAATCACAGAAGGACGCCTCAAGAAGTCGAATTAAAGAGTCACGTTTATTGCAATCCGGGACTATGAGGGGCCATTCCCAAATCTCATAGCAGTAAGATGGTGGCAAAACCAGACTTATATAGGCATAAATCACAAAGGTATTGATTACATCCCAGGGTTTGGAATGAGGCACCTGGCTTGCAAAAAAGCAGATTACAGAAGCAGAATTAAGCATGTTAATTACAGTTTCGGGTCTCGGGGTCACTGAATTGACAGAAATACATTATCTAGAGCCCTTGGGTAACCTGGGTTAAACTTAGGCATGTTATCTAAATTACAGTTTTGGGTCTCCGAATCACTGAGTTGATAGAAACACATTATCTAGAGCCCTTGGGTCTCCCGACCACTGAGTTGTCAGGACAATTTAGAGTAACTGTGCTGTCCTGGTCTCGGGACCACTGAGTCAGCTGGAATGCACCACCTGTGGCCACTAATTGTGCTGTCCTGTTTCCAGGTACAGAAGAATGCTTTCTAAAACCAGTAAGATAACACTCAATGGGATAGTCACGTTACAATCAATAAGGCATTCAATCGAATGGGATGATTTATATAATTCAGAAAATCAAAGTAACTTTTCTATTGTTAAACAAAGCAAATAAGTACCATACTTCAGTTTGGTGCATAACTACTTGTTATATGTTCTTGGTGAATTGATCCTTTTGTCATTATAAAATGTCCTCCTCTGTCTCTTGTAACAGTTATTGATTTAAAGTCTTCTTGTCCGATACTAGCATAGACACTTCTGTCCTCTGTTGGTTTCTGTTATGCCCAGATTTCAGGATCCCCAAAAGATCACCAGGGAGCCAGCCGAGTCCGATGCAAAAGCAAAGAGTCTTTATTCGAGCTAGCTCGAGCTCCCCGTCCACCACACTCACCGACGCAGTGGCAGGAGGCAGAGAGAGAGGGAGCTCTGTGTGGAGAGGAGTTTTATAGGGGGGTTGGAGTAAGGGGAGGAGAGAGGACCGTGGGCCCTGCCGATTGGCCGGGCGCAAGTCAGTGTCTTGTTACACAGGATGTGGTCGTATCTGTGGCGTGCACTTCCCTTGATTATCATTGGTTAGTTTAAAGAAATCCTAGGTGTGGCTAGCAGAGGCTTGGGCTTCCAGGAAGAAGCTCCTTGCTGAGCACATGGCTAATGGCTGCTGCCCCAAAATGGAGGATCCTGGACAAGATGGAGGGCGTAGCCCTCACCCTTTCAGTTTCCATTGTGCATGAAAATTTTCACATTCTTTTACTTTCAGCCTATGTGTGTCTTTAGATGAAACTACTTTTCTTCTAGACAGCATATAGTTGGAGTCCATTAACTTTTTATTTATTTAATCCTCACCTGAGAATATGTTTATATTGATTTTTAGAGAGAGAGAGAGAGAGAGAGAGAGAGAGAAACATTAATCGGTTGCCTCCTGCACATGTCCTGACCAGGAATCAAACCCACAACCTTTTGGTGTACTGGATGATGCTCCAACCAACTCAGCAACCAGACCAGGGCAGAAGTCCATTAACTTTTAATATTAAAAATTGACTTAGGAAAGTACTCTTTAGAAATTAATTTATATGAAAAGGCATTTCATCTCAGATCAGAGAATTGCTGATGACACCTGTTTAGTTTTGAAGCACTTATTTTAAGAATCCTCCATCAAGTATTTGGGTTACCCTACTATCCAGAGGCAACTGTGGGAAAGCTGATCAAACATGTATTAGAAATTAATTATTTGATAAAGTCAAAACAATCAGGTAGACAATAAAAATCAGGAATTCTGGGAAATGGGTTTTTAAGTAAGAACATCATTTAATTTTAACTTTCAGGTTTTCTTTCAACTGATAAAGTGAAGGGGAGTGTTCTTTTTCTCCCACATTGTGTTAATTGTCAAATTGCTAGTTTCTTCCTATTGTGTAGCATTAGTTTTCTACAAATATTATAATGAATTGAATCCTCTCTTTGTAAGCTGTTATGAATCAGCTGTTTAAAAAGGCAAGACCCCTCATGCTCCACCCCCAGCATTATTTAGCTGCAGTGAATAGCCATTTTGAACTTTCATTTTTTCATTCTTCTTTCCTAAGGGCTTATAGAAGATTAGCTATGCCAAAACATTGGCTGAATTGTTATATATTTAGGTATTTCAGATTGCCAAAATGAATTTGCATAACAGCTTTCTTTGTTTTTCTTTATCCTTTAAAAATTGCCATTGAAGCAACGTGGGTGTGTCCCATGGTGGTCTATATTTTGAGAAAAACCTCTTGGAACACTTTATATCTTAGAAATCTCTCTCTCCTTTTTCTCTTTAGTTATTGAATAGATTTTCAGTTAAGCTGGCCTTTCTATGACCAAAAACACCTTGTTGTATGTGCTCTGTAAAAATGTTTTGTTAGTGTAGTAGCAGTAATTCTGGGGAAAAGTTTGATGACCTTGGGTTTTCTTCAGAGGCTTTTACATTTGTTGTTATTAATATTTTATTAGCATTCATCTTTTTAAAAAATATTTTTTTTTATTGATTTCAGATAGGAAGGGAAAAGGAGAGAGAGATAGAAACATCAATGATAAGAGAGCATCATGGATCAGCTGTCTCCTGCATGCCCCCGATGTGGATCAAGCCTGCAACCAGGGCATGTGCACTGACCGGGAATCGAACTGTGACCTCCTGGTTCATGGCTTGATGCTCAACCACTGAGCACATTGGCCAGGCAGCATTCACCCTTTTTTTTGACTCATAGCTGCCTGTTTTGTAACAGCTTTCTTTTTTATGACTATTGTGTCTTTTTTCTTTATCTCTTTGAGAATCTGAGATATTCTTATTTTTAAAATGTCTTTTGAAGGTGTAGTTTGTAATCACCTTTTTTAGTAGGAGCGTTGTTTTATTTTGATTTTTGGTGCACCCTTCTCTACCTTTGTGTTTTATGGTTGTCTCTGCCTGTCCCTTGTATCTGCTTATTTATTTATTTATTTATTTTATTTTATTTTATTTTATTTTATTGATTTTTTACAGAGAGGAAGGGAGAGAGATAGAGAGTTAGAAACATCAATGAGAGAGAAACATCGATCAGCTGCCTCCTGCACATCCCCCGCTGGGGAAGTGCCCGCAACCCAGGTACATGCCCTTGACCGGAATCGAACCTGGGACCTTTCAGTCCGCAGGCCGACGCTCTATCCACTGAGCCAAACCGGTTTCGGTGTATCTGCTTTTTTAGGAAGAAGTTTAATATTGGAAGCTTTGGGTTTTTATTCTCCAGGGATATCGGGTAAAATCTTGAGAATCAGTCCCTGAACCAGAGAGTGACTTGACCTAGTTCATTTTTGTTTGATTGCATCTGGTATTTTTCATTTGCATTGTTTCAGCCTTGGGCAGCAGTCACAGCTTTTATTGCTGTCTTCTACAACTGGGAGAGCCCTGTTTCAACCAGTTTCATAAAATGAGCCTAGCTTTTATTTTAGTACTTATTATTAGAGCTAATTTCTTAGAAATCTCAAACATTAAGATTTTTACCTAATTTGCCTGTCTCTGCTTGCTCCTTCTACCTCTGGGGGTATAGAAAATTAAAGAACTGCTGTAGTTTATTGGAAAGTATATTGAATTAACAGGATAACCATAAGTTCAGTATGGATTATAACTTGAATAGTGGTTGTGAAGTTGAAATGTCATATATATGAAAATGTTTATAAATTGAGAAATAAATTTCTGTTAGATTTTGTTAGTACTATGTTTAAATCTGCTTTTGATTTTCAGGTTGTTCCATTGACCAGTCATGTATGGCAACAGTCATCATCTCAAGAAAATAGTAGAACACAGATTTCTGATTCTAATGTGGCCTCTTCGGAAGAAACAGCTCAGAAGGGTTCTGGGGATGATCAGGTATGTCTTATATAACTGACAAACTATCTTACTTTTGGTAAGCAGCATGAGAAATTCTTTTTTACCTATGAAGAATGGAAAGAGGTGAATTACTTTAATATTCCATTTCTCTATTGTTTATATGGGTTGTCTATATTGATATTTAGCTTACTAAATATTAAAACATTTAAAAATATTTAAAATGCCAAACCTATATATATTAACATAAATGATGTATTTTAAAGTAAAAAATGACTATTTTTCCAAACAATAAAAAAATTAGTTGGAAGAGTGGCATTGCTTTACATTTTTGCATATTTCTTTAATGTCAGGCTTCATAGAACACAGTTGGTCTATTAGAAAAATAAAACCAGTGGGAGACATATATACACCACATATATATATGCTCATGTAATCATGGAGAATTCCCAATATCTGTGACCTGGTGACTCAAGCGAGCTGATAGTATAGTAACAGCTTGAGTCTAAAGGCCTGAGGACCAGGCCAGCTGATGGTTGATGTTCCATTCTGAGCCCAAGTCCAAAGACAGGGGGAGACCAATGTCCCAGCTCAAAGAGCATTAGGCAGAGAGAAGGAATTCTCTTTTATTCAGCTTTTTGTTCTATTCAGGCCTTTAAAGGATTGGATGAGGCCTGCCCACATTTGGAATGGCAAGCTGCTTTACTCAGTCTATGGATCAAATGGTAATCTCATCCAGATACACCTACTGTAATGTTTAGCCAAATATCTGGGCACCCTGTGGTCCAGTCAAGTGACACATACAATTAACCTTCACAACTAGATTCTCATATCTGCTTCTGCATTTATTCCTTTGGGTTATATTGTTTTGGTTGAATTTTGTAAAGAAAATCTAGCCTTGCCCTAGTTGGTTTGGCACAGTGGATAAAGCGTCGGCCTCGGACTGAAGGTCCCTGGTTTGACTCCGGTCAAGGGCATATAGCTGGTTGTGGGTTCGATCCCCAGTAGGGGGCGTGCAGGAGGCAGCCAGTCAATGATTCTCTCTCATCATTAATGTTTCTATCTCCCTCTCCTTCTCCCTTCCTCCTTGAATCAGTAAAAATATATTTTAAAAAATTAAAAAAACGAAAGAGCAAGAAAATCTGGCCTTATATAGAAATGTAGTTAGAAAAGGGGATCACTGAACAGTGGTCACTAAAAGATGTCAGTAGCCCCCAGAGAGCCTCAGACCCCATTTTGGGAACCATTAATTTAGAACATAATCATAAACTTAGAAGAAATGGAAAAATTATGAGCAGATAGGAAAAGAACTTGTATATATTTGTTGGAGGAAAAATAAACCCTTAATGGTTAAATATTTACAGGTGATTATCTAACGTTATAAGAAAGTGTCAAAACTGTTTTTCTAAGTGACTGTACCATTTTACATACTCCATAGTGTATGAGAGTTCTAGTTGCTTTGCATTCTTTGAGTTCTTGGTATTACCAGTTTTTAAAATTTTATCCATTCTAGGTGTATTATGGTGTGTCATTGTGGTTTTAATATGCATTTTCCTAATGACTAATAATACTGTGCACTTTTTGTGTACTTATTTGCCATCCATGTTTCTTGTTTCTTTTTAAGATTTTTAAAATTGATTTTTAGAGAGAAAGAGAAAGGGAAAGAGGGAGAGAGAGAGAGAGAGAGAGAGACATTGATGTGAGAGGGCAACATCAGCTGCCTACTGCATGCCCCCTTCTGGGGATTGAGCCCAGAACCCAGGCATGTGCCCTGGCTGGGCATTGAACTGGCACCCTCTCAGTGCATGGAAGGGCACCCACCCAGCAGAGCCAGAGCACCAGGGCTCCTCCATCTGTCCTCTGCAGTGAAGTATCTATGTAAGTCTGTTCCCCATTTTTTTTCTTGCCGATGTGTTCCATTTATTGAATGTTGAGAGTTCTTTATATATTCTAGATGCAAGTCCTTTATCAGATATGTGTTTTGCAAATATTTTCCCCCAGTCTGTGTGTTTTCTTTGTATTTTCCTATCTCTCTTTCAAAGAGCAGAAATTTTAATTTTGATAGAGTTGGTTTATTGATTTTTGTTTTTTGGTGGTTTATACTTCTTGTATCCTACCTGAGAAATTTTGGCCTAATCATAGGTCACAAAGATTTTCTCCTATATTTTTTGTTAGAACAGGGTTTCTCAACCTTGCTGCTTTTGACATTTTAGGCCAGATAATATTTTATTGAGTGGCTGTCCCGGGTATTGTAAGATGTTTAGCAGCATCCTTGGTCTCTTCCCACTAGATAGCAGTAATACTCATGTTTGACATATATGTGCAGGTCTCTTTCTGTTGGTTTATTTGTCTTTTCCTCATGCCAATACCACCCTCTTAATTACTGAACTGTCTTGAAATTAGGTAGTGTGAGTGCTCCCACTTTGTTTCTCTTTTTAAAAATGGTTTTGTTTATGCTAGATATTTGAATGTCTATATAAATTTTAGAATAAGCTTGACAATTTCTATTAAAATAGCCTGCTGCGATTTTGATTAAATTGCCTTGAGTCTATACATTAATTTACAGAAACTTGACATCTTAATATTTAGTTCACTAATCCACAAACACAATAGTTTTATTTAGGTCTTTAATTTCTTTTTTTTTTTTTTTAGAGGAATTTGTGATTTTTTTAAAAAGAATGTTTTTGTTTATTTTTAGAGAGAGTGGGAGGGAGAGAGAGAAAAACATTGACGCTAGAGCAAAACATCAATCTGCTGCCTCCTGCATTCCCCCTACTGGAGATGGAACTCGCAATCTAGGTATAAGCCCTGACCAGGAACCCAACAGCAACCTTTTGGTGCAAGAGACAGTACCCAACCAACTGAGCCACACCAGCCAGGGTTAGATCTTTAATTTCTTCATTAGTGTTTTATTGTTTTTAGTGTGCCAAACTTAGCCCACATTTTGTTAGACTTACTGGTATTTTTTTAAGATTTCAATATTCTGTCCTGGCTGGGTGGCTCGGTTAGAGTGCTATTTTGTGGCCTGACAGGAATCGAACTGTGACCTCCAAATTCATAGGTCAGTGCTCAACCACTGAGCCATGCTGGTTGGGCTATTATTGACTTTCTATGTTGACCTTATATCCTTTGACCTTGATAATCTCATTTACTAGTTCTAGTAGTAGCTTTTTTGTACATTCTTTAGAATATTCTATGTTGACAATCATATAAACTGTATTTTTTCTTTTTTTAATATACAGATTACTGTTGAAAAACACAGGTTTGAATTGTGTGGGTTCACTTATACATGGAATTTTTAAAAAATTATATTTTTATTGATTTCAGAGAAGAAGGGAGAGGGATAGAGAGATAGAAACATCAATAATGAGGGAGAGTCGTTGATCAGCTACCTCCTGCATGCCCCACACTGGGGATCGAGCCTGCAACCTGGGCATGTGCCCTGACCGGGAATTGAGCCAGTGACCTTTTGGTTCATGAGTTGATGCTCAACCACTGGGCACACACCAGCTGGGCAGAATTTTTTCATAAATATCTGTACTGTTTTTAACCCGTGGTTGAGAGTTCTCCGATGCAGAAGGCTGAGTGTATGCATTGACCTATGCCATTTTGTATAGAGAACTTGACCATCTATGGATTATGGTATCCACAGGGATCCTGGACCTAATCCCCTGTGGGTACTGAAGTTAAGTTTTGGGGGAGTCAGAAGTCATAGCAGATTTTCGACTGCACAGAGGGGTTGGTGCCTCTAATCCTCGGGTATTGTTTAAGGGTCAACTTCATATGCTCTATATTCCTGGCTAGGATCAACTTGTTCTTCTATTTGATATTCTTTGTGTTTTGATCTCAACTCTGTGAAAGCAAGTGTTACCAACAACGTTTATGTAGCTGAATAGAGTGAACACTTTTCTGTCTTTATCTTAGGTGCATGCAATAGCTAGCATTTGATACTGTTAACCATTGCATATGTTTGTTTTTTTTATATATATTTTATTGATGTTTTACAGAGAGGAAGGGAGAGAGATAGAGAGTTAGAAACATCGATGAGAGAGAAACATCGATCAGCTGCCTCCTGCACATCTCCCACTGGGGATGTGCCCGCAACCCAGGTACATGCCCTTGACCGGAATCGAACCCGGGACCTTTCAGTCCACAGGCCGACGCTCTATCCACTGAGCCAAACCGGTTTCAGCCATTGCATATGTTTTTAAAAATAATTTCTTGGCTCCTCCTGGTTTTCTTTCTACTCCTCTGCCTATTTATTCTTTTTCAGCTTTCTTTGCTGCTTTATCTTCCTCTTTAAACCCCAGAATCAAAGATTGTAAGCTGTGGAACTGAATATGACCCAAATGTAGTTTGCAGAAACATTGTTTTGGCACAATGTTTTAAAATTTTTGAAATAGAACACTTAAGGTGTGTGTGCAGTGCATAGTTGACTACAAGTCCCATCACGCTCTAGTTTCAGGCAGATTTACTGAATTCTGTTTACCTCCCTGCCCAGTACACATTTGAGTTTTTTTCCTTCTGCTTAAAGTGTTGGGATGTTATGGTTCTCATCTAAATCCAGGGCTTTATACTTAAAAATCCCAAATTTATATGTCCAGTTTTACTCAACTGCTTATGTGCCCTTCCTGCACACAAATGTCAAAATATTTAGAGATTGAAAAGCCTTTTGGTACTGATTGAAAAGGTATTATACAGGACTCATTGTGTGATAGAGACATAGCAACAAAATATGTAGAAATAAAAGTAATGCTGAACAGAAATTTTAAAAAAAATCCTATATAACAAAAGCCTAATATGCTAAGTGTCCGGTCTGCCTTTCATCCAATCAAAGCAGAATATGCTAATGATATGCTAAGGCCATTCAAACGCTCGCTATGACATGCATTGACCACTAGGGGGCAGACACTTGACCAGTAGGTTAGCTTGCTGGGTTCTGGCCGATTGGGACTGAACAAGATGCAAGATGGCTGGACACACCCTGGATCCCTCCTGCAGTCCCTCCTTGGCCAGCCAACCTCCCGTGTCTCTCCCCAGCC